CATTACATCTCACGGACACAGAAAAAGGGTGAATGCTAAAACTAAATCAGGGTACAAATGGCCATTTGTCTTGTTGTGGGCTCTTGCGCCAGTCCTTTTGTAAGCCCCAACCTCATGTCTAAAACAAGCTTAATACCAGCAACTCTGTAGTGTTGTTATATAGATTATCGGTAATAAACGTGCCCAATTAGGACCAGCCAAAAAACTGGTGACTAAAAACAGATTATTACTCCTGCCTCAGAACTGCTCTAAGGCCTAAATGAGGACATAAGTAGAAGGCCTAAAACAATGCACAGGCAAGGTCGGCACTAAAAGTTTGTCACCTCCTCTTTACTCTGCTCCTTTCCCTTTTTATACTGCCATTTCGGGCCTCATCGTTCTCACTGGTATTATCACAACGGCATCTGAAACTCATCTCCATGCCTACAAACACATGCTTACCAATCCATCACTTTTGTCCTGAAGTATTTATTCAGCACCCTTCAGAGACCGCATCACCAACCAGTATCCTGAACTGCACACTGCCCAGCAGGAACACAAGGCCGTTCCCAGTCTCATCTCTTGTGACTTCCCTCCCAGATAGATAGAAACCCTCTGGCCCAAGCCCACCACACTGCTTGCTTGTTTCCCAACTGCGCCAGGCTCTCATGCCTCCAAGCTTATCCAGAATGTTCTTCTACCATCTACTTAATTCTTCAAAAGACAGCTCAAACATCATCTTCTCTTCAAAACTTCCCTTTACCCTAGAATTTTCTTCTGCATACTTCATTCACATGTCACAAACTGTACTCTAATTTTGCTGTGAAATCCTAGAAGGTAGGGGATAGGCCTTATCATGTTAGCATCACTCCCAGTACCCAGCACAGGACCTATGCTCAAAACGTGTTTGATGGGTTTTGTGACATAACCTTAATATTGGTCCCATGAATACTGGCAATCTGGATGTCTGAAAAATAAAAGTGCCACTATAAACATAAAAAGTATTTCTAGAAATGTTTTGAGATATTTTAAGTCCAGTTAATTCTGAAACATATCTGAAAAAGATTTTTTAAAGTGCTGAGATAAAACTCATACAAATGCACATACTGTAAGGTTTATCAGACCAAATTACCAATTAAAAAAATGAATGGAATCTCAGTCTTCATAAATATTTAACTATAAATTCTAAGGAAAATTTCCTACAGGAGGTTATCTTTGACTATATTCTTGCTTTCAACAGATACAAAATAAAATCCAGCAAAAGCAGTCTTAGTCTTAGTCAATGGTAAAATATTTTAAGGTTTTCCTCTTCTAAAGGTATGCTTAATCTTGGTTCAGCAGAACAAAAGGAGTAGAATAATAATAAACCAATATGATTTCCCTTTATTAAAAATGGATTTTAAGAATTATCTTTTTTCAAATGACTTAAACCTTTTTCAAAATGAAATAGACTGTGGAAGTTTACATCTACTGATCACAAAAAAGACTGACTTTATATTTTATATAATCCATGACTATTACCTGCAAAACTGCTACAAATATACTTGATAAATAATAAAGAAATAAAAAATACCAGGCTAGATAACACATTTTGAATGTACTTAAGTGAGTCCATTTCTATTAGGCACAGGAAACTGATAAACTAGCTTTTGGTATAAAAGAAAGCACTAAACTCAACTCTTTCAAAAATGTTAGAACATGTGACTTGTTTCTTACAATCCAAATATAACTCACTGTATTTAGCACCTTCTGTACTTTCCAGTATATTAGATAATTGCACACTAAGTTAAAAACAAAATAAAGGAAAACATTCCTGCCACCCACCCCTTTCATAAAAGAAATGGAAATATTAAACATGCACACAGAGCACCTTGTAAAGGTCAGCATGACTAGCTATAGAAAAGGCTGTCTTTTTCCCTTAATTTGAACATTTTTTTTTTGAGGATTTAGAGATGTGGAGGGGCAAAGAAAAGAGGAAGGGAGAATTGTGATTTTTTATTTTGGCAGAAAAGATGAGTTAGTAATTTCCAAATCCTGCTTGAGGGAACCACATGGGTGTCCCCATGGTCACAGGCTCCCAATTCCCACATTAATCAGAGAACCTCTGCAGGTTTCTTTTTTTTTTTCCCCTGGGGCGGGGGGGGGCGGGGGGCGGCGCAGATGGGGGGCATTGGTCTGTCTATGCGCTAAGCATCTAAAAAAGATTTTTTTTTGTACAAAGGTGACCATAACTTTAAAAAGCCTGACCACCACTAAAAAGGACTAGCGAATATTCAATGAATACATTAAACCTAATAAACAGAAAATCCAGAAGCATTCAATATGAAAAACTGGTTTTAAAAAGTGGAAAGACACTAAGTAAAAACAGACTAGTAGCTACAGGTACTTTACCTTTATGAATAGTTTGTTTCTTTTGCTTCTGATCAGAGATTTACAGGGTATATTGTTTACTTAGGGAGGGGACATGCAAGTTACCTGTTCCCAACTTGGTTTTGGCAGGAAGAGAATAGATGGTTTTAGCAAGGAATTGGCTATGAATCCAAAGCAAACAGCTGTGGAAGGGGATGACATGTTCATGATGAGAGGTGACATTATTGGGTATGTTTGTTTATGTGGATAGCAGGGACTCACAAAATTAACACTGGGGGCAGAGTTCTTACCGATGCTACTTCTGAGATCTACAGAAAAGTTTATATCCTTTCCTGAGGACACTTCAGATTCACAGCATCTAAATCCTCTTATGCCTCCACTGAAACTCGCTCAGTCGTGTCCAACTCTCTGCAACCCCATGGACTATACATACAGCCCATGGAATTTTCCAGGCCAGAATACTGGAGTGGGTAGCCTTTCCTTTCTCCAGGGGATCTTCCCAACCCAGGGATCGAACCCAGGTCTCCCATATTGCAGGCACATTCTTTACCAGCTGAGCCACCAGGGAAGCGCCTTATGCCTCCAATGCCAAGCCAATTATTGCTATCAAAAATTGGGGACAGTGTTTAACTATACTAATGTATGAAAACGGTCATTTTCTAAGTAAGTCAGACTATAAAAAACATTTCATGTGCTTTGCCTTCTCTGATGAAAAAGCCACAGAACCAAAAGCTTCCTTGCCAGTGACTGGGGCCATGATGCAAGGGGATGGCTAATGGACCAATTTCTTCCACCACTCTCTCTCTTGCCTCAGGCCATGATTTCTAAGTTGAAACTGTGACAGAGAAGAGAATAAGCTCCAAACTTATCTGAGAGGAATCTATTCAATTTTTCTGCTTTACCAAAATGTTTGCATAGCTAAGGAGATGGTGGGCGATCTTCTCATGTACTAAACTTCCTATAACATGGAAATTACTTTACAATAGGCAATGTAATTGAGTCTCTCCACATTAAGACTCATTAATATCAAAAGATCAAGATCAAAAGAAAAAAATCATTAATTAGCATCTGCATTTTGAAGACAAACTATATGACTATACACTGATAAAAACAACCTTTTCCAATTGGTTACAAAAACTGATGATAAGATGAATAATAATGTTAACCCCTTTAAATTAGTAACATTCAATTCTTAGTATCAGTGGACATGCTTTTGAAAGTTCAGAAATAAAAATAATGCAAGACTGTTCCAAACATGGAGAAGCTGAACGTTATTGTCACACATATGCTCCCTAAAGTTTGGCTCTTTAATTATTTATTATGTAATTCATCTATTCAATAAAATATTAAGACCAACAATTAAGAGTTGCTTCCTTATGGTAAAACTAAGTAACAGAAATGCAATTCTATACCTACAAGAGAATGCTGATAAAATACTGATGCCTGAAAGCAAAGTACAGTGACCTAGACAATGTACATACAAGTCTGTACAAATACACAGATTTTCCTCTGCTACTTAGTGACAGACTAGAAGTTCTAGTGATTTATTTTCTCAAAATAGATAAGAGAGTTATGTACAAATTATTTATAGAGACACTAATTTCCTCAAAATAAAATCTAATATAAACCACCTATAGGTATAATAAGGTAGTTTCAGCAAGATTTCAAAGTGTCTTCTTGCCCTGAAAATCACATCTGAAATGGACTAACACAGAGGCTAGATGCTTCAATCATTTTTAGAGTAGGGCAAGGTATAAGTAAAATTTAAATTATCTATAACAGGTTTTGCTGTACTTTCAACAAAATACTGAATTTTAATGTAACTATGTAAGTCCTTCCTCATAAGATATATAAACAAACTTTATTTATGGCATGCTTATATCAATAAGATTGCTACTAAATACACAAAGGCAAGCAAGAGTAATCATACATGTTTGCTTTATTATAACCTTAATTTTCTGATTATTAAATCTATCTCCCCAAAGAGGTAATCACAAACTGGCATTTTTTCCCTATTTTTTTAAGTCAAAATAAAAACAGAGCTCACCTCTGACATATATACACTTTCAAATCCTGTGTGTAAGTGAATTATTTCTACACACCTTTCTGACCACCATGCAGTGTCAGAGAACATGCAATTCACAGCTTGCACCACCGGAGGGCACGCTGAAAATCTTTAAACAAGTTTTAGAATGGAATTTTTATCTACTAGGAAGGAGACCTAGTCCTAGACCTTGAAATTCATGGATTCAGTAGTGGCTTAAAAAACATGTTTCAGAGAACATGGTGTTTCATCATAAAAAATAAGATGATGACAAATACGCATATTCAGTCCACAGTTTATCTCTGAGTCTCATGTCCTTGCAATGAAAGTTAAGGTTCTAGATCAGAATAAACAAATTAAATAACTTCAAATGAGAACACTAAAAAATTACTAACTACTAACCAGTCTCATAAGAGTATCCTTCTAGAGTAAATGTTCATCATCAACAAACAAAAGTTCACATTTTTGTAGAAAACAAAAGAAGTTCAAGAATCACTTCAAATATTAATACATATATATATGATTTAAAAGTTGGTCAGGAAAGACTTGGTTTAATATATACACAGCACTTCAGTTTAAGAAAACAGGTAACCCGTGGACACCCTACCTGTTTCCTGTGAATTCAACACTTCTAAGGCATGCATCATGGCACTTGCGAAGACATTGGCATCTTCTTTACTGCCAAAGTTGAGACCATACACCTGTCTAGCGTCCCGCCATTGGTGGAAGGTCTGTGTAGCTTGATTGTACTTCAATCCTTTAGGAATGGCACAATTTATCACAACCTAAAAGACAGTAATTCTTTATAAAGTTAAGCTAATAATTGGCAAAATCAGCAAAGTCAACATCCTGACTGGACATGCTCATTCAAACCTGCTCCTGACCAACCTCAGCAAAAAAAGAAAAAATGGTTAAAACCAGTATCTGGAATAAAATCAAGTTTTCAGAAGTTAACAGCCTGATAGATATTAGGCTGTCTGATAGTTACATGTCTCTGGCCTTAAAAGAGTAAATCAGCAAAACAAAAGAAAATCTATATCCCTCATTAAATATATGTGAACATGTTTATTGAAGTTTTATAAATTCAGAAAGCATATAAAACATAAGTATGTATCTTAGTGATTGCTCCTACACAGCCAAACCCTGATCAAAAACTAGGACATTAACATCAGAAACCCCCTCCCAAAGGTATTAGCCACACTTCTAACATCAACAAATAGCTCTGTAGGTTTTGAGGCTTTATGTGAAAGGAGTTACACACTGTATACTGTACTTTGCCCTTCTCTCAAAATTATTTATGAGAAGCATCCATTCATTGTATGTAACTGTGGTTTACTGCACACATTTCTGATGGGCATACACCTAGAAGTGGAATTGCCACAAGCCAAACATATGCTCAACTTCAGCAGAAAACTCCAGGTAGCTTTCCAAATTGGTCCCATCGATTTTCACTCCCACAGCAGTATACAACGGCTTGCACAACCACAAATACAGTGCATCGTTATAACTGGTATCGTCAGTTTAAAGTTCAGCAATTCTGCTGGGTGTAAATACTACATCACTGAGGTTCTAGGTAGTAGTTCCCTTATTACCATAGAGATGTAGCACTTTTTTGTATTTTAATGGCTATCTGGAGATCTTCTATGAGTACAAGCTTAAATTAAATCCCTTGCTCGCTTTTTAACTGAGTTGCCCATCTTTTTTTAATTGATCTATTAAGAGTCCTTTATATATTCTGGGTGATCCCACTGTTGGTTGTGTGTTACAAATATCTACTCCCATTCTGTGACTGTCCTTTTCACTCTCTTAATGGTGTCTTTTGATGAACAGAAGTTCTTAAGTTTTATTCAGTCCAAATACACAATCTTTTCCTTTATATAGTCAATGCTTTTTGAAATTCGTTTAACAAATGCTTCTCATGTGTGATAAAAGTGATAAAAATATTATTCCATGTTAATTTATAGAAGCTTTACTGTATTAACTTTCATATTTACATCTCTAATTCAACTGGAATTGATTTATGCCTACAATATGAAGTAAGGTTCAGCTTTCCTTTTTGTTCCACTATGGCTGTCCAATTGATCCAGCAGTACCTATCAGCCTGCTGCAGGCTACCTTTTTCATAAACTAAGTGTCTAGATGGCTCTATTTTGTTCTACTGGTCAGTATGCCTATCTTTGAGCCAACATCACAGTGACTTAATTATTATAACTTTATAGGAAGTCTGGATAGCCACTAGTGTGTCCTCCTACTTTGCAGCTGCTCAATATTGCTTTGGCTGTTCTCAGTCCTTTGTGTGCAGCTATAATTTTATACTTACTATCAATTTCATATTATTCATCCAATTCACCAGTCTGTTTTTAATTGTAGTGTTTAATCCATTTACACTTAATGTAAGTTATATATAAATTTGGGTCTAAATCTATCATATCTTCTTTTAGAGTTCTTTACTACTGTCCTATTAGCTTGCTAGTTACACAGTGTTTTCACTGTTGTTCAGTGGTTGCCCCAGAGACTGAAACAGACATCTTAAACTTATGAAAGACACACAGGAAGCAATATTTTTGTCTTCACCTCAACAATACACAGACTTACAATACCTCATCTCAAATAAAACTCCCTTTTCCCCAGTGCCCATCCTAAGAATTCTACACTATTTTTATCAGGTATTTTTAATTCCATTTATATTTTAAATCCCATAAAACATTATTAGTAGTCTTATACAGTTGATGTCATTTAAGATTTACCCAATATTTACACTTTTTTTGTTGCTTTTTATTCCTCTGTCCTCTCCAAGCTTCTGTTGGGACCATTTCTGATCTTAAAGATCACCCTTTAGAATTTCATTCAAAGCAGATCTCATGACAATGAATATTCCATTTTGGTTTCTCAAGATAATACCTTTATTTCACTTTCAGTATTGAAGACTATTAGGTATGGGACTTAAGTGGTCATTTATTTTCTTTTATTCTTTGCCTTCTAACTTTCGTTGTTTCTACTGAGAAGTCAGTTGACAGTTTATTACTGCTTTTTAAAGCTGTATTTTTCTCATGGATCAAACTAAAGAACTTCAACTTGAATTTAGTATACAGTGATTTTAATATGGTATGTTCATAAGTGATTTTCTTTGTACTTATCCACTTATGGTTTACAGCATTTCTAAGGTGATATCCTTTCACCATTTCTGAAAACTTGTGTTCACTATTTTGTCTTCAATTACTGCTCCTGCCGCATTCCCTCCTCTATTCTGAGACGCCAATAAGGTAAGGGTATACCTTACACTTTTTTTACTGTATTTCCTATGGCTCTTAAGCGCTTTTTCATATGTCCATAATTTTCTCTCTCCAAACATCACAGCTTCAGAATGAATATTTCCTTCTGATCTATATTTCAGTTTACTAATTTTTTTCAGTAGCTTCTAATTTGTTATAATCTCATCACTGAGCTACTAATACCAGCTATTTTATTTTTCAATCCCAACATTTCCATTCAGCTCTTTTTCTACTAAAATTCTCAATTTAGTCTTTTATTTCCTTGACTACATTAAGCATATTTTTTTTTTTAAGCATAGTCATTTTAAAGTCAGTTTCTGACAATCCCATTAACTGGATTCCCAGTAGGTCTGTCCTCTTACTGTTCTCTTGTCTCCTCTTATGCTGTTTATTTTGACTGAATGCCAGACACTGACTATGGATAATGCTATGGAAATTTTGAGGCCTAAAATGATGCTACATTTTTCCAGGGAAGATTTACATTTGTTTCTGGCAAGCAGCTAGGGAAACTAACAATTTCAAATTACCTCAAACCAAAACTGATCAGAGGCTGGGTAACAGTTCTTCTAAAGGCCAGTCTACTTAGAGTCAAACTTCTTCCCCAGGGTATGGGGCTTCTGGGTCCCAAATCACAACCTGTGTGATTACCAAGACAACCTCCCCTCATTAGCAGATCTGACTTACAGTCTTTGTTCTCCTAGTCCCGGGAGTCTGCCAAAAGTTCTGTTCAGCTACTCAGGTTCCTCTTTCAAAACTACTGTGTGCTTCTGGGTAAAAACTGCTTCCAAGCTAGGCTCACTTCTCTGATTCCTTCTTTTAAGTCATGGATCCATAATTCTTCACTGTCATGTAAGCTCTCCAAATAAGACTTTTTTCTTTTAAATATTCTGTCCAATTATTTTGGTTCACAGAGAGAGGCTTTATCTAAATTACCTCATCCACCAATATCCAAACATGACATTATTTTTAAAATATGATGACCACTTAAAGATGAGTGAAATAAGCTAGATATAAAGAAAAAATTTTGTATGATTCCAATTATTTGAAATACCTAGAATAACAAAATTTGCAAAACAACGGAGAATGGAGGTTGCCAGGGGTTATGGGGGAAGGAAATGGGAAATTATTGTTTAAAGGGTTCAGAGTTTCGGTCTGGATGAAAAAGTCCAGAGATGAATAGTAGTGATGGTTGCAGCACAGCAGTGTGAATATATTTAATGTCCCTGAATGAAATTAAAAGACACTTACTCCTTGGAAGGAAACTTATGACCAACCTAAACAGCATATTAAAAAGCAGAGACATTACTTTGTCAACAAAGGTCAGTCTAGTCAAGGCTATGGTTTTTCCAGTGGTCATGTATGGATGTGAGAGTTGGACTATAAAGAAAGCTGAGTGCCAAAGAATTGATGCTTTTGAACTGTGATGTTGGAGAAGACTCTTGAGAGTCCCTTGGACTGCAAGGAGATCCAACCAGTCCATCCTACAGGAGATCAGTCCTGGGTGTTCATTGGAGGGACTGATGTTGAAGTTGAAACTCCAATACTTTGGCCACCTGATGAGAAGAGCTGACTCATTGGAAAAGACCCTGATGCCGGGAAGGATTGGGGGTAGGAGAAGAAGGGGAACGACAGAGGATGAGATGGTTGGATGGCATCACTGACACAATGGACATGGGTTTGGGTAGACTCCGGGAGTTGGTGATGGACAGGGAGGCCTGGCGTGCTGCAGTTCATGGGGTTGCAAAGAGTTGGACCCGACTGAGAGACTGAACTGAACTGAACCGTATACTTAAAATTTATTAAAATAGTAAATTTTATGTTATTTTTACTACAACTTAAAAATTACGGTCATGTCTTACCATTTAATTTCTATACATATTGAGAGTGGGAGAGGGTTACAAATCCTTAGCTACTAGAATTTAATACCAAGAAAACTATGAACCAAATTTTAAGGCAATCTATATCCTGCTTGACAAATAGGTTATAAGGGCAGACAAAAGATAGTTACGTTTACTTTTCAACTCTTCAGTGACAGACTATTAGAAAAAGTTGAGGAAAATATTACTAGAATCAAAATTATACTACCTAAATCATTAGCTCAGTTTTTTCAATATAGAAACTTTACTGTGAAATTAAACTGTGAACAAATTATTTCATTCAATTCTTATCTTTCAAGGATAGACAATGCTATATAATCTTAAAAAGCTTTAAAAGTAAAGAGGGACACATACACCTTCATTTAACAGTCACTGTTCACTAAGGATGCTATTGGGTATGAACTTCTTCAAAATTCTACTACAGCAGACCCAAGGAGCTTGAATCTAGATTAGTGATTTCCACCCTGCATACACCCATCCATTTTTAGCCTGATCATAACAGATTAAACTGTGCAATAAACATCTATGCTTCTTTCTGACATGGCTCATCAGCTTATCTTGTCTATGAAGTCATCACAACCTTTTCCCCCATCTTCTCAACAAACTGATCATTCTTTCATGCCCTAGCTACACAATGATTTATTGATCATAACTGAAATAACTAACTGTGCTTTCTTTACATGTGTAACATCCCCATTCTTTATTGCATTGTTCTTCAACGTCAGGAATTTATTACCTATATAAAACCTAAGCACAGCCCCTAGAACACAGTAAGTACTGAAGTATTAAGGAGAAAAATGGCAGCTTTTCGTATATATGTATATGATTTGTACATATTCAGTTTTACAAATAAACTGTGGTTAATTTTTTAATGGCTCTTAGACATTATTTAATAAATTATAGTATGTTCCCCCTTAAAATAGACTGATAACCATTATGCAATGAAAAAAGGTACTCTGGAATGAAACCAATTATTTTTTTTTATTAATTTATTTATTTATTTTTTTTCACAACCATAGTGTATCTTTTTTTTTTTTTTTTACATGTATTCCCCATCCCGGTCCCCCCTCCCACCTCCCTCTCCACCCAATCCCTCTGGGTCTTCCCAGTGCACCAGGCCCGAGCACTTGTCTCATGCACCCAACCTGGGCTGGTGAACTGTGAAACCAATTATTTATGAGATTTATTCTTAGGTATTTTATCACTGCTGTTACTTTAAGTAGTATCTGTATAAAATTATATTTTCAAAGTGTTTATTGCTAATTATACAAAAATGCTACTGATTTTTATATATTCATCTTATATCCAACAACCTGGCTGAACAATTTTATTAGTTCTAATATTTTATCTGCAGATATTGGCATTTTTTTACATAGACAATTATATCATCAATGAATAAGGTCAAGCTCTTTTTCTTCCTTTTCAATCCTTATAGTTTCTATTTCTTTATCTTTATATTACTAGATTACCACCTCTGCAATAGAAAATGAAAATGACTAAAGCTGAAATCCTCAAACTTATTCCTGAGTTTAATGGAAATCCTTTCAACACTGAACTGTCTTGCAGATGTCTGCTGGATGTTTACATTATTCATCCTTAACAGCTTAAGAAAACTCATTTTTATGCCAAATGTGCTGAGCATTATTCTGTACGGATTTTATCAGTGTTTTTCCTGAAAACACTGTTTTTCTTCTAGGTTTTCTCCTACCAAATTAATAGGCTACTAATGTTAAACTACCTTTACATTACTGAGATAGAAAGAAATCCTCTTTGGTTAAGAGGTGATCTTCTCCCCACCCTCTCCTCCAATATACATTGTTACATTTGGCCTGCTATTATCTTATTGAGGACTTTCATCTCTTTTAGTCTCTCTCTTTCATCTCTTTCATCAATGTTAATAACTGAAATGTGTTTTTAATTTTCCTCTCTGAAATGGTTCTGTGTCTTAGACATCAAAATTACACTAGCCTCATAAAGTACTCTTCTTTTAAGATTTCTTTTTCAACATGAGTCATTTTATAGTCTTTATTAAATTTGTTACGATATTGCTTCTGTTTCATGTTTTGGTTTTTCAACCACTAGGCATATGGTATCTTGACTCCCGGACCAAGGACTGAACCAGCACGCCCTGCACTGGAAGGTGGCGTTTTAACCACTGACTGCCAAGAAGTCCCAAAATACGCTTTTCTAGATCAGTTTACATAAAACAGGTAATAAAGATTTTTAATTTTGTTTATAAATACTCTGGACGCTGTCCTTTTTAAAAAATATTTGGCGTAGATCATTAACTACTGATGTATTTTGTGATTGATAAAATATATATTAATATTTAATAAATTTTAATATATATATTAAAATTAATTTTAAATTTTAATTTAATTAATTTTAATATATATTTTTCTACAAAATGGCCCACTTATTGGTGTAAATATTATAATATTTACATAATATTATCTTATGACTTATTTCCTTACTGTAACTACAGTGACATCTCTTTCCAACCCTAATGATGTTTTATTTGTAACTTTTTGGGGGTTTGATTCTGTCAATCTATTCAGGGAAACAGTTTCTGTGTTATTAATTTCTATTTATTATTTATTTTCTTTTATTTTTAGTATTCCCTTCTGCTTTCTTTGAGTTTGCTTATTATATGCCATTAAGATTTGCCCATCTACCTAGAGGATATTATGCTAAATGAAGTAAGTCAGACAAAGAAAGACAAATACTCTTAAGGTTTCACCTATATGTGGTATGTGAAACAAAACAAATGAACAAACATAACAAAACAAACAGAGTCACACATACAGAGAACACACAGGCAGTGGGGGAGGGACTGTCTATCTGAGGACAGCTTAGACATCCCACAGGTTTCTATGTGTCATATCTTGTCACTTAGACCCAGGGTTTTGTTGTTTCTTGTTTTTTTTTTTTACTTTTGAACATTTTCTAATCTTCATAATGATTTCATCTTAGTGTCACAAATTATTTATAGCAGTGTATTTTTAAATTTCTGACATTTTAAGAAACACCCCACTTGTCAAAAACTGGAAATCATAGGATAGTTAACTTCTCTTATGAATAAAAATGTAGGCATTTCATCTTTACACAGATTTCTAATCATCTGTTTTCAACTGAGATGTAACTGAAATATAACATATTCATTTCAAGTGTACAAAATGATTTGATCCAATTATTTTTAAATACTCATCTTCTTTTTCACCAACATTTAGATATGTTTAGGTTTGTTCATCAGGATATCAAATGACCAATACACTGAATTCACCAAAAATTTATTTTACAGCTACTAGCGTGCAATGTGTTTAAAATGTTCAATAACTTCTATAAAGTGCTAGCTGTCCAGTTCCCATTTTTACTTTGTAGCAGCATCTTAGGGAGTATCCAGTCAGTCTCTGGCCCAACTCACTCTTGAGACAGTCTGCTGGAGGAAAGACAGAGAGGACAATCTGGATACCCACTGGGCAGCGAGGGTTCTTGGCACAGAGACTGGGGAAACCAGAGGAAGGCTGAGCAAGAGGTGCACACAGCAAAAGGAGAGAGGGGCGGGAGAAGAAGGATAGAGTGGGGGTGGAGGCACGGGGAGAGAAGGGGGCCTCAGAGGGCAGAGAGCAGCAGGCTAGGACAGTCAGTACTCATAGGGAAACTTGCTCAGTTCAGTGAACTGCTCTTTCTGCCAACTGATTCAGGTCTCGGAAAGTTCCTCTCCTGGGGAGCAATATATTTGTTTTTGCCAGGTGCCGTAGGGGTTTCACTGGCCCGCAACCAGGACTGGTTAATTTCTCGGCTGGAGATGTGTAAATGAAGCTGGAGGCTTCCATTTTTCAGAGGAGCTCCTAAACTAGCTCAGACAAACTCCTCTGCCTACCAGTGCTGGTTAGGAAGATTTTCTTAGTCTTCTTTTTATGGTGTGCAGCCTCCTGAAAAGGCTCAGCTTTAGGCAGTTTTGAAATTTTGATACCAGTTTCGAGGCCCAGCATCTCAAAGGCCACAATCTGTACAACACAAATACCAAATCTAAGTCCCCGGATATTACCAGTTTATAATTTCCATCCCCAAATACAGGGCTGTCACAGCATCTCACCACACACTACACCAGCCTGTTTCCCAGTGGATAGTCAGGGAACTATCTTTCTCTAATAACTCAGCTGGTAATCTGTTTCATTTCCATTCCCCCTCCATCCCACATGTTTAACACTGGCTGATTTTACTAGCTTAGCACAGCCAAAAGTATTTCGTAAATCTGTTCTTTATAAGAGTCCTCATTGCTATTAGTATATATTTAATGCTAGTAAAACCCTATCTCCATTTTGCACTGTCTACTGGCTCCTGATCTGGAAAGGCCCCAGAAATCAAGTAATCAGATAATCCAGTCACCTTTCTAAGAAATCCAGAGCAGGGAATTAGCAAAAGCTTAGTTGTCATGCCAGACATGAATTACAAAAGCCTAACTATTCCAGCAACCTTAATACAATTTTTCTATCACATATGAACTTAACAATACTTTATGAAACTACTTAAATTCTGAACTCCTTCCTATAGTCCCATACCCCATACCTTTGGTGGGAAATGAATTCCTTAAGCATAATCTGCTACTTAAGTGATATTTCACATTTTAGTTTGTCTTAAATTTACTTGAGATTCTCAAACCTAGCTAGTTTGAAGGCCAGAGGATTTAGTGAATATCGTAATTGAAAAACTCAGATTTATATTCCTGAACAATTCGTTCTAAACTGTCATCTAAATTCAAGCTTTATAAAGATGGAGAGGGTAGAATGGCAAAGCTATACCCAGTTTTTCCCACACAGACTCTTTTGGCTACAAAATATGACTTTATTTTACTGAATATATCAAGTCCTTTTGTAATACTAGATAACTTTAAGAATTAACAAATCCTTACCTGATGGTCCTGAATCTTCCTGCCCACCACTCTGAATGTGTTGTTGCCTGTATGGTGATATATATGAACTCTGCTGAACCCAGTTGAACCACCGGCTGGCACCCACTTTTTGTTGGCATCATCGTAAACCATCACAGCAGCTCTTGCCTGACAGATACTCTGTTCACTGGGAAAAGGAAAAAAAAAAGCAAACTTTTAAGATACTTAAATATGCTAAGTTTCCCATAAGGCCATATAAAATAGTTATCTAATGAAGCAGTCGGTCAACAATCAGTGCTTTACTGGGTGCTAGAAATGACGACAGTGAATAAGGCAGAGGCTTTCCTGCTCTTATGAGTAGACTCTAATGGGGAAGACAGACCAAAAAATGAAGTGTAGTGAGGAAGCAGAAGGCAATCAGGATCCACAAAGAAGATTGTATATTATATAAACAATAAAAAAAAAATTTTCTTCTATCAATAAATCTAATATATTCATTAAACAGAATATAACTACAAGTATAAATTAATCATCATCTGTGTGTGCATATATACATTTATACTATTGGTGAACTGTTTTGATTACCCGTCTTTACTGGAAAAATTACTTTTATCATCAGGTTTGCGTCAAGGTCTATATAACGAATTCTGCTAGGCTCCATCTGTCCCGTGAGATATGGAGGGGCACTAGTGATCCATGGATGGCACTGTGACGGAGCCCCTGACCCCATTCAGATAAGATAACATCCTATGTCTCAAATTTCTTCACTTAAAAATGAAACAATAAAATGAGATGATTTCTAAGCATTCTTCTAGATTTTCAATTCTAACCTTCACAAATAGATGTTAAGGAAAAAAAGACCAACTCTATGATAGAATTTTTAAACCTCAGCTTCATCTCAATTATTGTTACCAAGTGAGAATGAGATTTTGTTGCTGTTGTTGTAGGGATGATCTTAGTTACATATTAAGCAATAATTTCATATTTCAAATATTCCAAAATACTACTGGGCAAAAAAGACTAGTTGGAATTTTACTTTATACCATAGTTTACTTCTTAAAAATAAAATACAAAAATTTAACAGAAGAAAACAGGTATGTTAACTCCATGATGACTATTAACCTAATTAAAATGACTCAATCTTCACAATTTTCATAGATTTACCTGACATTTAAGTAGTTGTTAATGGAGATGCTAAGTAGCTTACCCAACCCTATCTTTAAAGAAAGCATTGCTCATTACACAAATTTCAGCCTCCAAGTAAATCATGTGGGTTCTTCCCCAATATCCTGGGAAACAAAAAGTCACTTTCATCCCTCCCTTCTGGCCCATCTCTCAACAGTATGTGCTTTGCTAGACTTCTGTGATTTGATGATAGAAGGATCACAGGAGACCTAAAGAGGTCACAGCACTGAGCAATAAAACCACTCACAACGGTAGTGTTAAAACTGTTCATAATTTTCCATTAACGAAATCTCACCAAAATAACTGGTAATAACATCTATGCAGTACAAACACTGAAATAAACCCAGTGGTACTGTCTAAATTTTTATGCTATACTGAATTTTTTTTTTTTGTAAAATAGTTCTGGGAGTAAAAATGAGGCAATGACTGAAGCCTGAATTATTTTTAAAAGCTTGATTAAAGAGTCTTTGTCAGCACAGCAGTTGAAATCTCTTCATCACTCACAATAAAAATACTTGTTAAGTGACAAAATTTACATAACCCTTTAGAAAGAAACAAGCTAAGGCAAAGTGCCTTTTATAGCATACAATCCAAGAAATAAATTTACTAACTCAGAGTGAACAACAATTCAATAAACCCATCTGTAAATTAATATAGAACAGTATTTTCCAGTTTTCACAAAACAGTATTTTTGGACACACAATTCAGTTCAGTTCAGTCAGTCAGGTCCGACTCTTTGCGACCCCATGAACTGCAGCACGCCAGGCCTCCCTGTCCATCACCAACTCCCAGAGTCCACCCAAACCCATGTCCATTGTGTCGGTGATGCCATCCAACCATCTCATCCTCTGTTGTCCCCTTCTCCTGCCCTCAATCCTTCCCAGCATCAGGGTCTTTTCAAATGAGTCAGCTCTTCTCATCAGGTGGCCAAAGTACTGGAGTTTCAACTTCAACATCAGTCCCTCCAATGAACACCCAGGACTGATCTCCTGTAGGATGGACTGGTTGGATCTCCTTGCAGTCCAAGGGACTCTCAAGAGTCTTCTCCAACATCACAGTTCAAAAGCATCAATTCTTCCGTGCTCAGCTTTCTTTACAGTCCAACTCTCACATCCATACATGACTATTGGAAAAACCACAGCTTTAACTTGATGGACCTTTGATGGCAAAGTAATGTCTCTGCTTTTTAAAATACTGTCTAGGTTGCTCATGGCTTTTCTTCCAAGGAACAAGTGTCTTGATTTCATGGCTGCAGGCACCATCTGCAGTGATTTTGGTGCCCAAGAAAATCAAGTCTCTCACTGTTTCCATTGTTTCCCCATCTATTTGCCACGAAGTGATGGGACTGGATACCATGATCTTAGTTTTCTGAACGTTGAGTTTTAAGCCAACTTCTTCATTCTCCTCTTTCACTTTCATCAAGAGGCTCTTTAGTTTTTCTTCGCTTTCTGCCATAAGGCTGGTGGTGTAATCATACCCTCATAGTTAACTAAATAGCTATTAATCTCTAAACGAACATATCAAAGTAGCCAAGAAAAGCCCCAAAATGCAAATACTAGTTGATGTTTTATAATGAAGATGAAAAGACATCTTCATTATGAGATTAAGGATACAAATCTGACACTCAACAAAACAAGAAGCACAAAGAGAAACCAAGATTAAAGGGAACAAGATAAGAAGCAGGTAAGAGCTGAGATGTTACTGGAGATGTAGTCAGAGCCACTCAGGTTATGTATCAAGCTGTAAAGACATGAGTCAGCCCCAGACAACCCTGAGTTCTAGCAGGCACCCAGTCCTCAGAGAAGCCACATCAAAGCCCAGCCAAGAAAGAGAATGGCATTGTCCAGTGGGACCTTACTGACAAGTCAAATCTTTCCATTCCTTCCACACACATTCCTGAGGACCTCTCCTCACTAGAGACACAAATCCTGTGGTGTAATAAAAAAAAAAAATACTTGGTCTTTGTCTGGTTCCTGGAACAGAACTCCTAACCCCCTTGGCATCTCCCAAGCAGTATCTTTGGTATGCTAATAAGATGACTGACTCTAGGCTTTCAGATGGGGGCTGGGTACCAGAAATAGCAAGCCATGATCAGAGGGTAGAAATTTTCAGTCCTGGTCCTTCCCCACCTCTGGGGAGGGGAGAAGTGCCAAAGACTAGTCTGACTCGGCAACGGCCAATGAATTAGCCATCACATCTCCATGATGAAATCTCCATAAACACACCCAAAGAAGCTCACACGGAGGTTCTAGCTGGGATAGCATACCTGGAGAGAGCTTGGAAGAAGCCCTCCATACCTTGCCCTATGCATCTCTTTCATCAGGCTGAGCTGTGTCCTTTATGCTAAATCAGGAATGGTAAGTAAAACACTTTTCTGAGCTCTGGGAGTCAATCTAACAAATTACTGAGCCTGAAGGGGAGTCGTGGCAACCCCTGAATTTGTAGGCAGCTGGGCATAAGTAGAGGGGTAACCCAAGCACCTGACTAGCAGTGCCAACTAAAAACTGTTACCTGCTATCTGGTTCTACAAGAATGAAGCCACTAAGGAAATGAAGACAAAACAAATGATTTTAAACCAAACTTACCGTCAGTTTTTTATGGTCCTTGCCCTCAAGTAACTAAGCAAACAAGTAAGGAAAGATCTCAAAGTTATAAAAAGAGGCAGGATTATTTGAGGGAGATTTTTTTTTCCCCTAAATAAGAGAAGTCTTTTTTACTCTTCATGATTAATTCAAATACTTTTCTGTGTTAATATTAAAATGATACAGTATGGTTAACAATATTATATTTGACTTTTGTAACATGTCTTTAATTTTTTGTATCTGAAATCCATTAAAGATTTAGTCTGTTCTTTAAAAAAAAAAAAAAGAATGAAGCCACTAGCCACTGCAGTTGCTGACATTCAATACACCCTGAAAGGAGTTCAGGGTGGAGATCAGCAATGAGGCACTCTGTGCTCTGGGAAAAACTGGCAGAACAGGCCTTCGGATGAGCCCGATTTCTTGCATCTTCTCATATCTAGAAAAGCACTAAAATCATTAACGGAGACATCTGCTCCTCGTGACTAGCAGCAACCTTCTCGTGACTAGCAGCAAGCCTCTGAGAAAACCTGTGCTTGATTGATCCTCCTTCACCAAAATCTCACATACACTGACCTCCCCCTTATCTCTTCAGAACAGTTCCTCAGAGCTTTCTGAGAGGCTGTTTTCTGGGCTACAGTTCTCAATTGGCCTCAGTAAAACTTAACTCACTACTGTCACACTGCATTTTTTTTTCCCAGTCAACAGTAGTTAGGTCTAAAGTGGGGCAGTCTTGTGGGAATGAGCCCTTAACCTACTAACTTCAGAGAGTCAGTGTTTGTATTCAGCTAAATTGTTGGACACCCAGCTGGTATCAAAAACTAAGAGAACTCATTGTTGACCTGAGAAGAAAACCACCCAATATATCAACCCCAATTACAGGTGTGCACAAAATAAGCTAGTGGTACCCAATTTTGGATTTCATAGACTCATAAACTTCACAAACCAACTAGATGAATCAATACAGAACAGGTCGACAATATTTGGCCTACTTGACAGGCAGGAGATTTCAGAAGAGGGGAAGAAACCACCATAACTTACTAATATGAAGATATTTTGGAACTTAAAAATCTCAAAATAAATACAATGTAATACTCTGGAGTATAATAACTAGCTTTCTATACAATTTTCTACATTGTCCTTTTTTTCTTTTTTCATTTCTCCCCAGCCCAGTGAAATACTTCTATTATAAGCCTGCTTTACAAGTATGACTATATGACTGGCCTAAGTCACAACAGAACTGCCTATATATACATTGGTGTGTATACATATATGTATATATATACACACACACATCATATATATATAAGCACAAGAGCAAGAACTGGTCTGCTTAGATGTTCTTCTGGTAGGAATTTCCAACTTTAGGAGGATTTTTAGATGAGAAAGTCAATGAGTGAATTTCTGAGATGATAAAACTTCG